TAGGCCTATGCATGTAAATACACAATGTCCAATAAAAGTTCAATATGTTCATCAGCACTTTTTGTATTATGATTGTAATAATTGAACACTGTCATAAAGGATTTAAAAAAAATTCAACTTAAAGACAATTTGAATTCCCTATTGTATTGGATATACACATTGTGCTCTGATTACGTACTGATGATCAGTACATGTTCATACATTTTCAATAGATAACGCAGAAGGCTAATGAAATGGCCTTGGGTAGATTAAAAAAAAAAATCTTTTCAGGATCGTTTTAAATAGACCAATCTGAAGTTTGGGGGAAGGTCAGTGGGCCGAAAACCACTTGAATGATTATCACAGTTTTTACTAGCAACACTTTAGATCATGTTGATTGAACAGAGAAGGAAAAAAAAGGTAAAAATGAAATAAAACAAAGGTAAGGAATAGATAATAAAACAAGAAAAGGAAAAAGGAAATTTAAAAAAAAATGAAAGAAAGGTAAAAGAAAGAGAGAAGAAAATTGCTAATAGTTCTTCATATGTTTTTATTTGTTTAAATATTTTTTAACATAGTACACGTATGTTGTACGGGAAGGTGTACCTTATGAGTCTCTTTCCGGTCTGTCCCTTTCTCTCTCTCTCTCTCTCTCTCTGTTTCTCTCTCTCTCACGCTCACACACACGCCCTCACATGAATAAGAAAAAAAAAACACGCGTATATATATATATACGCACACGCTCATACCATTATCTTCAATTTTTCATTACCTTTAACTTGATTTAACTTGTTTAAGCATTTATATTCTTTGCTCACAGAATACACAATGTTCATCCATCACTGGCAAAGAGGGGTCTAACGGCTATGCTCCACCCACCATTCTATCCAGGGGGATGAATAAAGAAAAGGAAAGGGCATCTTTTTAAATGTGTAAAATAGCCCCCCGCCACCCCCTTTAAATAAAAAAAAGGTTTTGGAGGGCCGGCGGGCTTCCAGCAGGAATATACGTGTATTACGTTACTTAAAGCCCCACTGTCCTACTGGTAGCTACTTGCTCCCTCTATATAGAAAACTTCCCCAATCGGTGCCTTTTGGTCCCCCATGATCCTCTTTTTCTTATGTTAGTTGAGAGTTGAGTTAATGAGATAGCCACCTGTCAGTGACCTTGCTATGTGGTCTAATCCCTTTTGGCCAAGTAGTATTGACGGTCTTTAAGGAAAAAAGGAGAAGAAAAAGAAGGAGTTGAAGAAGAAGAAGAAGAAGGAGACCGAGAACGAAAAGGAGATGGGGGCGGAGGAGAAGGAGGAGAAGGAGAAGGAGAAGGAGAAGGAGAAGGAAAAGGAGGAAGAGGAGGAGGAGAAGAAGAAACTACTTACTAGAGCTGAGTGAATAAGCACCAAACCTTATGAAGGAGAAAGATGAAGAAGGAGGAAAAAGAGGAGAAGGAATAGGAAGAGAAGGATATGGATGTGGATGAGAAGGAGGAGGAGGAGAAGAAAGAGAAGAAGGAATAGGAGGAGAAAAAGAAGGAGAAGGAGAAGAAGAAGAAGAAGAAGAAGGAGACCGAGAACGAGAAGGAGATGGAGGCGGAGGAGAAGGAGGAGAAGGAAAAGGAGAAGGAGTAGAAGGAGGGAATAGAAAAGGAGAAGGAGAAGAAGACGAAGAAGAAGAAAGAAGAAGAAGAAGAAGAAGAAGAAGAAGAAGAAGAAGAAGAAGAAGAAAAGGAAGTAGGCCTACACTTTAAAAGAAAAGTGTGTGGTGGGGTAGAGATTTTTCCATTATTTTGGTCAGATCAGGTGAATGCTAAAATCGTATGTAATGATGTAAATGTCTGATGTTGATGCGAAAGTTTGAAATAAATCGGAGTAATGATAAGGGAGTTAGAATTGTTTGAAATAGATCACTCAATCTTTTGAAATCTTAAGTTTGTCGTGTACAAGATTACATGTATCAGTTATTCTTTTTTCTCCTTACCTTCTCCTTTGGGGCACTACTTGAAATGTATTATGGATAGCATATTATGATAGGTCCTTTGAAAAGAAAAAACCCTCCTGAGCCATAAATTATAAATTTTAGTCATTTTGTGTGTCGAAACGAATGGGAAAGTTATCCGTCACTGCGTCGAAGTGCCATTACCGATTCAGCCAATTAGAAGTGTGCATAATTATGCATAGTGATTACAACTTTGAAAAATTCATAACTTTTTTTTTTTGTCCGGTCCCATTCAAACTTTCATCAATCTTTTGCTCAACGTAAACCCCATCTCACAAATAAATAAGTAAATGTGTTTTTGAACGTATAAACTGAATAAAAAGAAAGTTTTTCTTGGTATAATGATCTCATTCGCCATTTGAACTAGTCGACTTTGGTACTGAACTTAAAATCATCTATAGTATACATGTAGCTCTGTGTACTTTGATCACACTGACCCATTTTTTCCCCTTCAGATTGAAAACTTTGAAAGTTACTGATATTCATTTTGTGCAAATTGCATTGTTCATGTACCGACTTAATAAAAAAGAACTGCCTTTATCATTTCGTAACGATTTGACTCTAAATAGACACATTCACAACTACCCAACCAGACATTCTTCTGATTTCCATTTGTTTACGCCAAGGAGTGCTTTAGCCCACAGATCGATTAGATATGTAGGTCCTTTCTATCCTTCTCTCTTTCTTATATATCTCAATCTCTCCCCTTTCACACACAAGTCTCTTCTTCTCACTTTATATCTCTTTTCTGCCCCTTTTGCTTCTCCTCGCTCTCTTCATCATTGTTGGATATTTCCTTTTCCCTCCATCGTCATATTTTACCTTATTTAATTCAACATGTCTAATGGGTTTTAATTCCCATTTCGTTATCATTCCATGCGGTATTCATGATACTCTAATGCCTTTTATTGAAATTGTAATTGTAAACTTTCGCATTCCGGCCTTGCAGCCGCGAGGAAAGTATTTGAAAATACAATTTTGAATGAATGGTAACCTCTTTTGTATAAACTCGGTCGTTTGTAAAGATCATTGCAATTCGGCTTTGCCGCCATGATATTTATTTTGGTTTTATTTCCCAGTCGTTAAACCATTTTCCTAATATTTTTCTCTCATTTATGTGAATTTTGTTTATCAGGGTGGACTTTACCTTGAAGTGACTCGGTAACATTGTTGGAGGCTGATGGAGAAAAAAAATTGTATGAAATGTTACCTATTATATTACTTCTACTGTAATAACCCTCTAACATGCAAAAAATCTTGAAAAAAATTCTCAAACCACGAAGATATTTATGGTTTTCTTTGAAGGCGTCACTGTGCGGCAGGCTAGGGCCTTAATGGAATCCAGGGGATAGAGCCCCGGAAGCTTAGGGATTTCATGCGTTTAATCACGGTCAGATGAGCATATTTTTATACCTCATTATTTATTTACACAAGCCTATATAACCAAAAGATAATAATGGAACTGTAAATGACTTCATTTTGAGCAATTTTTAAATTATTTTTGGTCCAATTTTTCAGGAAATATTTAGCGGCGGCTACGAAAAACAATATAGAAAAGTGGATTGATTTACCATCATAACTACATGTACTTGAAAAATGTATTCAAATTATGCCATAAAGCCAGATGCTAAAAGGGTCAAAATTATGCCAGAAAGCAGGCGCGTAAACCCCCCCCCCTTTTGAGTTTTTTTTTTATTCCCCCCCCCCCAAAAAAAAAAATGCCTTTAATGACGATTTTGACACACGGGGAAATACAAGTTATAGCTTTACATCAGTACACCCCTAAAGGCTCTAATTCTTCTCGCTTCTCTTAAAGACCGTCAATACTACTGGTCCAGAAGGGAATAGACCACACAAGCGAGGTCACTGACAGGTGGCTATCTCACTAAATCAGCTCTTAACTAACATAAGAAAAAGAGGATCATGGGGGACCAACAGTCACCGATTCGGGAAGTTTTCTATATAGAGGGAGCAAGTAGCTACAAGTAGGACAGCCTTATCATCATTTAACTTTTTTTTTCAATTAAAACGGAAAAATCCTCTCTAATTGTGTTATATAGTTTACAGGTCTCTGGTTTAGATATGTAGAATGATATTCTGTATCAACAGAGATGGACAATTTTCCAGATAGCATGCTCTTTTCCAACTGAATATATAGCTTCCTCCTCTTCATTTTCCCCTCATTTCGAAACAAGTTCTCTCGTCCTGTTGTAAGAAAATCTTGTTAAAAGAAATATTGTTGATGTCTAATTGCATTAATTGGAAAATTAATAATTAATATTTGTTATGATGCAGATTATAGGAAATTCAGTAATTTAGATGTCAGATGTCCTCGATCCTGTTATTATTAAGTCGAAACAAAACGAAAAGGACCTATAAAAGTATTTTTTTTTAAAGCAGCTGTTTCTGCATTTATTGATCAATCAAATACAAAACATTAAAACAACAATAATAGTTTATATAATGGATTTACATAAAGAGTGACAACTGAAATACACGCACATGAAAATGCATATGTACATGTATATATATATATATATATATATATATATATATATATATATATATATATATATATAGAGAGAGAGAGAGAGAGAGAGAGATGGAGGTAAGTCAAAGAATCAAGATAAATGCAGAGGCCAACTACAGCTCAAACCTGTCTATAGCGACCACCCAAGGGAACCACAAAAAGTGGTCTTTGTAGACAGGTGGTCCTTGAAGACAGGTTCCTTTAGTACATGTTTCAATGAGAAACCATTTTCAACGGAAACAATTAAAATGTGGTCTTCATAGACAGGTGGTCTTTGTAGACAGGTGGTCACTAAAGCAGATTTGACTGTATATCATAAGCATGAATGTCTGATAAATACTCTTTCTTTGATTTCTATTTTTTTTCTCTCCACTTCATTTCCCCTCTTTCATTTTTTCAGTCTTTCATATAATTTGTTTGTCCGTGGCAAAGAGGACTATGTGCATCACCCTACATGCTCTCCGGTTCTGCAAATTGGCAGCGTAATAAATTGGTAAGCTAATTTCTATCAAAATAAGCTCACCCATACAGAAGTGTTTTTTTGAGTTGTGAAAGGAGGTCTGCTGATTTTATTTGTAAGTTCGATGCCGTTATGATAATTTAATAGTTTTTTAAAAGAAATTATAACGTTTTATTCTGTAAAAACTGATTTAAAGCTGGAATTTTAAAGAGAAAAGTGTATTACTCCTTTATTAGTTGTCCCATATACTCATAGTTGTGTAGTGTAAAAGAATTGGGCGTTAACCAACCAATTACCAAGGCAGGGCGAGACAACGGCAACGCCACGGCAATGTACCCGCGGCCGCGCAACCACTCTATTTCGCGCGTGAACATAGTTATTAATGCCTATCGATTAAAGTTTTGCAGTATTTTGAAATTCTTTCAACACTAGATCTAGGCCTAGGGTCTAGACCAGTAGACCTCTAGACTTTATTATAGCATGGGAAGTGTTAGACCGAAAGCTTCAGTCTCTATACCGTCGGTTGTTCCACTGAGACTACGTCTGGCTCCACTAGACCTCCGGTTATAGAGACAGAACGACTGCCTATGCCAGCCTGTGTTGAACTTATTCCGCTAGATTTTAGCCGCTAGGCCCCTCCCACAAACTTGCCACGGCCGTATTGTTATGCCCCCAAAATCCCCCAAAATGTCATTTTACCTCGTCCATATCCAATTTTAAATTAGGCCTAGGCTATAATACATCGGTTCCACTTACTAATTTGATGGAAATAATCCGTTTAATGGTCCCTTTTAAGGAAATTATGGGTCAAAATCGACATCCATGTTGAAAATCTTGCAAGCCGTGTTAAACTCTCGTTGCCGTCAATCTCATCCCTTCTAGTCTACGCCGAAGGCAAAATGATAATGAAGGAAAAAACTGTGATAACGCCATTACGAACGTGTAGATGGCGCACAGTTTTTCCTTCATTATCATTTTGCCTTCGGCGTAGACTAGAAGGGATGAGATTGACGGCAGCGAGAGTTTAACGGACGGCTTGCAAGATTTTCAACATGGATGTCGATTTTGACCCATAATTTCCTTAAAAGGGACCATTAAACGGATTATTTACATCAAATTAGTAAGTGGAACCGATGTATTATAGCCTAGGCCTAATTTAAAATTGGATATGGACGAGGTAAAATGACATTTTGGGGGATTTTGGGGGCATAACAATACGGCCGTGGCAAGTTTGTGGGAGGGGCCTAGCGGCTAAAATCTAGCGGAATAAGTTCAACACAGGCTGGCATAGGCAGTCGTTCAGTCTCTATAACCGGAGGTCTAGTGGAGCCAGACGTAGTCTCAGTGGAACAACCGACGATTATAGAGACTGAAGCTTTCGGTCTAGGGAAGTGTGACCTAAAAAATTACTTTTCTTTGTTACTAAATTGTTTATTTTTTTAAAATGTCTAGACTCTAGATCTAGATCTCGATCTAGGTCTAACAAAAAGTTAGACTCTAGTCTCGATCTAGGTCTAGTGTCAAGTACTCAAGACAAGTTCGTTGTCACGACCGAGGCAGAGAGGGGTCGCTGGTCCGAGAATAAGGATCGTCCACATAAATGAGGATCGTCTTCGTAAACACAGACAGATGCGCCCACTAAAATAAGGATTGTCCACATTTTCACAGACGTCTCATATTTCCGATGAAAAAAAACGTCCATGAAAATGCCAACGATCCTTATTTTTTAGGATGCAATTTGTCCGCGTTTACAAGGATATCCTCGTTTATGCGGATGATCCTCATTCTTGGACCAGCGCCCCTACTGAAGACTCAAGTGCTCAGATTTTTTCAGAAGATTCTTTTTTTTTGCTTTTTTCATTCTGGAAAAAAATATGACCTGACCCATAATCCTCATTTATCAAGAGTTCAAGACGATGTCAATGCTTTAAAAACTGTTGAAATTGAGATTTTTCACTTCTTATTATATTCTAACTTTTCATTTTAAGATAATTAATTCTTTGATGGATTCTCATATTCTAATCTTAATCATCTGTAGACTGTAATGTAAACTTATATGCACGAAAAAAGCCACAAAGTTTGGACTTTTGTTCTTTTTGTTCATATTTGAAAAATTTGGTTGCCCTATTAGCCAGATTTACATCACATTTACCAAAAAAAAAGTCAGGTTTTCCCATGGCATATTTGAATGAGTCATTCCTTGGACAATTTTGGGGGAATATATTTTACTGTTGAATCTGTTAAACATCGTGGATGAATTCTTAAGCCAAGAGTCCGATGACTCCATCATTTCTGCTGTGTCTAATATTGAGAAGAAGATGACATGAAACAACAGATAAAACAGATAAAACGTTTTAAAAAGTGTGTTTGTTTTTTAGTTTTTCTTATCAAATAATTTTCTATATTTGTGCTTAGCTATTAGTACCGAGCCAGTGGCAACCGCAGACTCTTCCATCGCTTAGACGAGTATGCACACGTAGCCATCATGGGCAATCAGCTGACTGGTGTGGCCCCGTCTCAGATCCTTCCGGTAGAGCATTACCTGACAGATGTGTCCGATTATGAGTTCGACCACAGTCTCGGTAGTACCCGATTCTTCAAAGTAGCGAGAGCAAAATACAAGTAAGTGTGGATCCAATTCTGGCATGTGTTTCCTTGATTATGGAGCAGTTGTTCTGAGCTTTATTTCATCCAAGATATAGGCAGGGCTCGACATTATGAGCAATAGGCCATTTTCGTAAGGTAATCAAATTTAATGCACAAGTCTTTGTGAAGTGCCTCAATACAAATTATTTAATTCACCTGATAAGAATAACAGCATTTCAATAGACAGAATCCAAACTGTATACATTAGTTGTTGCCAGGTCGGACAAACATTATAACTTGACCTACCTAGCAACACTTAATATATGCAGTTTGCATTCTGACTATTGAAATACTATTATTCTTATCAGGTGAATGAAATAATTTGTATTGAGGCACTTCGCAGAGACTTATGTATTACATTCGGTTACATTATGAAAATAGCCTATTGGCCGGGACACATTGGCACCCAACTCTAAGTCTGACCCCCAAACTTTGAAGTTCTATGTAGAGCCCATGCATACAGAGTGTGAAAAGTGTAGTCTGGATCCTCTTCCTATAAAGTTAGTGTGGAGTGCTGATAGAGGATTAGAATTTGGGTCATGATTGGGTTGTAGGTTAGGTGTACGGTTCGCTTTGGGCTGAACCGTTGAAGTTACAATTATCGTGGTTAGTGATTGACCATGGCGCAGTTGGCGTTGAAGAATGTGTCTTATAAGCTTTCTCTGATTTAGAAATTCTAAGAGAACACAGATTTATTCAGGGTTGGAACTAGTAAATAGGATTTTTAGTACTGATATTTTTGTATCATTCAGTTAAATTTATAATATATGAAAATTTCGTTTGTACCAACTCGGCAATCTTGAATACCTGGGAGTCTGGGACCCGTTTCACAAAGCCCTTTTTCAATCGCGATTGACAAAAATCAGTGACAAATCTGTTAATAACCAATCAGAAGCAAGGATTTCACTAGCTTATAACAAAAACTGCCATTTGTCACTGATGACAAGTTTTGTGAAATGAGGCCCAGGTAAGTCTGTTTCTTTGGTCTGTTTGCTCTTTTAGGGAAGGATTAGCTGTGGTGAAGGTGTTTGTGATCCATGACCCCTCCCTGCCACTCAGGTCATTTAAAGAGAAGATTGAGGACATCAAGACAAGACTTTCCAACGGTTCCAACTGTTTACCCTTCCTTAGAAGCACAGTAAGTGAAAAGAAAAGAAACAAACCCACAAACAACAAACAAACAAACAAACAAACATAAAACAAACAACAACTCAAAATGATTATGTTCTGGGGGGGGGGGGGTGTGAAGAGTATGAAAAACATCATTGTAGTTTTGAGAATATGCTATTTATTCAAGGAAGCCACCTAAGCATGTGTAATCATGTAAAACTAAATTAAAACCTGTGGATGATCAATTAATTGAGTAACTTATTTATTGACCAATTTTTGGACTGATTGTTTATTGTACTTGAGTTGTAGGAAAGCAATTATTCTTGGATTAATGCAAGCTACGGGAAGCCTATTATTTTAAGTCTTAAATCAGTTATATGAGTCGGTATGTAATCAAAGACGAGTGCTGGACCAAATTACATTAGCATTGTAACTCGTTCTGGAATGAAACTGGTAATATTGAAAGTAATCATTTTTGTCTCTGTGATGCAAAATTAATATACTGGGTGAGTTGTCAAATATGGACATATGCTTAAATGCTTAAATGATACAAATGTCAGAGGGAAGAAAATAAATAAGGGAGGGATGGAGGGAGGCAGGGAGGGAGGAAAAGAGGGAGGGGGATGATTTTTAAGGTATGTTAATCAGAATTCTATAGAGATTCAACCACGTATTTGAACCAACTGCCCCCATCTCCTTTGTACTAATCCATCATCTCTTTCCACAGCTATCCGATAAAGCAGCCCTTCTGTTTCGTCAGTATGTGCGCAACAATCTCTACGACCGCATCAGTACCCGGCCCTTCCTCATCTCCATTGAGAAGAAGTGGATTGCATTTCAGTTGCTTTGTGCACTGAATCAAGCTCATCTAGTTGGGGTAAGAGATTACCTTTCAAGCTTATGAATGAGTGTTTAACAGTATTAATATGTTTGTATGAAATGTATCAAGCTCTAGTATGTTATTCAGAAACCTGTTAAACTTCCCCTTACCGTATTTGCCGGCGTAAAGGCCGCAGTATTTTTGGAAGAGAAAATATCAAAAAGTCGGGGTGCGGCCTATGCGGCGAAAGAGTAAAACAACAAAAAACTTGCAAGTCAAAACCATGAAACACAGTACGAATTTGTACATATGGGACAAAGATGAAAGGTGATGGACATTTCTAGAATAACTGTTTAGAATAACACGTCTTACCGACAATTATGTGTTATATTTTTTAAATGAAGGGCAAAGTCTTGCCAATCTCGTAATTAAAATTCATAATTTACCAACCAAACTCTACTGGTAGATCTAGATTTAAGTTTTTGCCGTAGCTAAAGCCTCTCGATCGCGTGAGCAAAAAACTATGGCCCAATACACAAGAGAGAGGCCCAATATATACATGAGAGAAAACTGTAACTTATGTCAGTGCGGGATGGTCGAGCGGTCTAAGGCGGTGATTTTGGTCACATCAACATTTGTAGGGGAGGGTTCAAATACAACCACCGACAATTTTTTATTTTTTAATTTTTTTTTTTAAATGTCAAAATCGGGGGTGCGGCCTACATGTATGCGGCGGTGCGGCCTTATCGCCGGCAAATACGGTATTCGGTCCAGTCTTCTCTCAGTCTGGTTTTGCTATTTTCCAGTATTCAAACCCATACAGCAGAACTTACTATGTAAGATCCTAACTCTTGCCTCAATTTAAAAGACAGTTTTGGGTCTCTCAGTGTGTTTCCAAGCTATTAAAGTGGATTCTTTACCACAGATTACCATTATCTTTCAATATATTCCTTAAATACATTGTGGCATAATATTAAATTGATCATTTTCAAGAGAATTAACCTACTGTAGGAAATCCTGCCTTGTCATGGCTTGATGAACAAGGCCCGTCTCAATTTCCGATGACCGGGATAATAATATATCCGTACCACACTTTTGAGAGACATCGTCGATATAGTGAGTGCTATATAAACCAGAATATTAATAATTTAGTATTATTTTTCCTGTGCACTGTTTTCAAGAAGTGATGGCATAATATTGTTATATACTAGAATAGTCATGGTCTAGTGTGGTTAGGTCGTCGGACTGGCGATCACAGGGTTCGTGGTTCAAGTCCTGCTGCGGCACTTATGTCCTTGGCAAGCCATTAATCTACATTTGCCACTCTCCACCCAGGTGTTTTTGGGTACCGGTAGTAAGGAGTTCCTTGAATGCTTTGAGCACTGATACAGTAGCCTAGCGTCTTGAGCACCTTACATGATGGATATGTATACTATAAAAATATCCAATATTATATTCCACATACTAAGAATCTTGCTCTACGCTGGGTCAAAAGTAAATCACGTGATGGAAGATAGTTAGCCCATCATTGCTGGGAGAAGCAAAAAGTTTGTTACACTGTGTACGCACTTTCACTGAAGATAGAATTCCTATCTACACAGGGCAACGCACTTTAATTGTATACGCTGCGTATTGCTCTCCTCTTTAAGCACTTTTAGTTGGTCACGCTTTGGTCATGCGCAAACTATAATATGGTCACACCACCATACTGCATACACTGTATGTATCGTACACTGTTTGCTAGCTGTTAAGTGATGACTTGTTGCTCTAAAATGAAGGAAGAAATGAAATGTTTCCGATGTGGAATATAAAGCAAATAATCACCTTTTGCTTTCAAATGATGGCAAACTATCAATTCCTTGGCATTCTAAATGTAAACGCTACATCCAGATTGCCTCGGAAGTGATAGTTTGTCCCATCACCTTCACTAACGGTAATTATTTGATTACTATTATTATTATTTCATTTATACAGGTATGTCATGGGGACATCAAGAGTGAGAATGTGATGGTGACTGGTTGGATCTGGGTTCTACTCACAGACTTTGCCAGTTTCAAGCCAACCTATCTTCCAGCTGTAAGTACCCAAACAGTCACTGCTGAGGGGGGGGGGGGGGGGGGGGGGGAGGGGCACTTCATTATCAGGGAAAAAAATTAATATTTATTTTTTTTGGGCTACTTTTTAAGCTTGCCTGCATGTAAATAGCACTCTAAAATTTGTTTTGCAATGAACTCTATGCAAATTTATGAGGGCTCTTTTCTGATTTTCGGGGGCTCTTTTGGGCATTGCTGGGTTAATTCGCCCCGAGCCCCCGTGTATTTTTTTCACTGCCATTATACCTTATGTTTACTAACATCTTCAGATTTATGGATGTTTTGTTCCTGGTGACCTAATGATAAGGTATACCGGTACCATTAAACTGTTGTTAATGGATGAACTACAATACTTGAAATACATTATTTGTTGCTAAGTCAGGCAAGCCTCGGGCAAGCTTTCATGATGAGAAGAACAACCTTTCTTTAAATAGCCTGTATAATATTTGAATATAATAGTAAACGGTCTATTGACTAAAAGCCCGTAAGACCATCAATGTTGCATGCGAGATGATGGATGTCATTTTGTTGATACTGATAATTGAGGTGAATGTATATTGTCCCATACTATGATGTTGATGATATGTTAATAACAAGTTTGAGGAATGAAATTATGGTTATTTAGTGATGATTATGAAGCTGCTTGTGACAATGACGTTGAAGTTAAAGGACAAGTCCACTCGGCTAAAAAGGTTTAATGATTAGATAGACAAAAATCTAAAAAGCCCAAATATAACTTGGTCTTGGAAAATGGAGCTCGGACTTATTTTTAATTAATTGTTTTAATGAGCAAAGAACAAGTTAGTGATCGAGCCGGTTCTCCCCCACAATGCATCGCGCGACATTTTTTGTGACGTAGGGTCCTCACAACACAGAGCTAAAGCTAGAGCTAGCTAGAGCTAGAGACGATGCCCATTCGCGAACGCGAACCAGTCAGACCGCAGCGCTCGCCAAATCGCACGTATTTACTCAAGTCGTATGCACGTTTTTGCTCCTCATGAATACGTAATAAGCAAAAACATGGCACAGTTCTCATCTTTCTGCTATGCTCAGGATTCATTTAATGACATTGAATTCGTCATGAATATTGAGCCAGAACTATAAACATCATAATGTACTATTCAATAAATAGTGAGTGAAGTTTGAAAATGTGAAAAAAACACCAAATAAAACTTGCAAAAAAAAATATTTGAAGAGTCGGATATACATGTTAAATAACCATTTTTATTGGGGGTGCGTCTCGCTGAATTTTGGCTTACCACATAATGTAGATATTTTCCTAACATAATATTATACTTCCTGTCAATGTTTGTCTCAATACCAGTCAGGAACTAGCAAAGTAGTAGCTGATGCATAATAGACTTCGGCGGAAAATACGACATGGCCGATCGACGAGCGTTTCGCATCGAGATCAACCGGGGGATACCACGTTATATATAACTCTGCGTCGATTCGCGGTCCAACCAGTCTGCGCGCTATACGTGATCACGCACGGAAGATAGACGAAGATTAAGGATATTCATGAATTACTCTCGTGTGCGTAACCCCCGGTCGTAGAGGCTTTGCATTGCCCCACATACTTATTATTGTGTACGATATTCATGCGCTACATACTTGTAGAAGTGAACGGAAAGTACAAAATGGACACAGATACGCACACAAGTACAATCAAGTACAATATAGAATACCAGCTCTAGGGACAGAAGAGGGGATTTAAGTGTCTATATGGGCTATTTTTGGCCAGGCTTTGATATCATTTTAACAAAGAAGACACATTATTTGTATGAAATGTATGTTTGTGTAAATACAAACTTCTTTCTTTTTTTTGGGGGGGGGGGGGGGGCAATGTGATTGAAAATTGAAAATATGATTGTTCCCATCCCTGCTAATAATTTCATGGTTGTAAAAGTTCTGAAATGTGTTTTTATATTTGTAAACCATGAGCTAATGAGAAGAGCCTTAAACAGGAATTTCTTTTGGTAATTCCCAGACATTTGAGGATGGTAATATTTTATTTCATAGTTCTTTTGTCAATTGTGTTACTCCAGTTCATGTGTATTCCTGGAAATAAAATATTACAAAATTCTTTCCCTTATTCTTTTTTCTGTTTGATTTTGTTTTAAAGTGACCCGCGGAATATATATATCTGAAAATTTATTTTCGGGGTTTGTTTGACCCTCGGATAGAAATATTAGTGTGCGGTGGGCTGAAGGGCTCAAATATAACTTGAAGAATTCTAATTTTCATCTTCAACATCATTATCACAATCGTCATCGCCATCACAATCATTATCATCATCACCATAGCCATCATCGCCGTCACCACCTACATCATCATCACCACCATAAGCATTGCAATCACAACCATCATCGTCATCATCATGATCATCATCTCCATCATCATAATCACCGTCATCATCATCGCCATTATCATAACCATGATCATTATCGCCATAATAATCACCGTCATCATTGCCATCACGAATCACGATCATCACCACCACCGACATCACCATTAATTGCCATCATCACCACCAACCATTAACGACCAGCATTGCCATCATAATCACCCTCATCATCACCACCATCAGCATTGCCATCAAGATCATCTTCGCCATCATCACTATAATCATCGTCATCATGATCGCCATTACCACTGACATCATCACCGTTGCCATCATCATAATCACCGTCATCATTATCATCATCACCATAGCCATCATGATCAATCACCTTCACCACTGACATCATCACCATCATCTCCACCGTCTCCATCACCACCATCACAATCACCATCACCAACGTATCAAAAAATGTCAATGCTTGACTATTTATATTATGTTTACCCTGTGTAGGTACTATTTCTGGATGAAATACAAATCTGCAAAAAATATCTTTAAAAAAAAAAAATTGTTTTTCTTTTGTGGGGGGCTATTATTTAACAGGTCTGTGTAATTTACATTCTTTAATCAAAATTCATGCTAACTAACCCAGAAGAAAACCAGCTCTGGTTTCTTCTGAATAGCTTAGTAAACAGACAACGGTTAAACAAAAAATGTATTATTTAACACTACTTCTAATAATAAATGCGATAGGACTAGGAATAAAATTTGCATTTTATAATATTTATATTTTATTTATGAACTGACTTTGACATTTATATTGAGACCATCACACGCATAAAATGTGTCGCTGAGAATAAAAGTATTCTTAGAGTTCAATATTGTTAAATTGTATAAAGGTGACAGTTCTTCTTTCTTCTTCCTCGGTAAATGCTACTTCATACAACGAAGATTGATGTCTGTCAATGTCCCGCAAGCTTCGATGGTTGAGTGCGTCTGTCAGAAAAACAACAACAAATGATTGTTGTTCAGTCATGTTTCTATTAATATAATAAATGCTTTGTTCGTGTGAAGCTCTGGAATCCCACCTTGGAACTTTGGAAGTATCAGAGATTTTTGTTTTATTGAAAGGATTAAGCTGAACAAAATCCTTCTCGTCCTTCTCCCAAACTCCCCGTTCAAGATTGTTTGTTGCAACGTGAAGCATAACTGCTGATGAGTCTTCAAATTAATAACCATTAAAATGAACAAAGGCCTGGAGTCCACTCAGTCCAGCAAATGTTGATCCAGGAATGCAATGGAGACTGATGTGTGATGTCTGTCAAAGTCCCGCAAGCTTCGATGGTCAAGTGCGTCTGTCAGAAAAACAACAACAAATGATAAGAAGAATAAAATGGCTTAGTTCAATGTATGGGGATTTGAAAAGAACTTATCAAAGTAGCTAGCCATTTATGGTAGCCAAAACTGGCTTGCTTTCAAATTTATTTTTAACTGAAAACAAGTTACAGGTGTCAGATTCATGAAGTTTTCCCTTCATTTTTCAAGATGTGCACAAGTTCTAAAATGTAAGTGTTTAACTTCGGCTTTTTGTTTTAATTCTGCTCTGTTCATAATCATAATATATACAACTCGCACAAGGAATTGTTGCTTATTTCTGTGGCTGGCTGTAAGGTTTGAGTTGACCAGAAGGCAGAACCAAAGTTTGAGAATACCAAAATAATAAAATTAATTATCCTGTAATTTGTCATTCTAATATCCAGCTCAGCTCAGCTAAGGATTCCAGTTCTTTACAATTCGACCACAGTTATCAAACCCCTTCATTACTTGTCTTAACATGTTTAAACCCTTGTAAATATACATTTAAAACATATCATTTGTTCTAGATTTATAATAAATAGCAATGACTAATGAGCAGCCAGTGTCAGCAGTTGATTTATTTACATTGCTGTCGATTTGCGACAACAAAAACTAAAAAGCTGACACAAATAAATACACTTGGGACTACTGTATGCACCACACAATGGAACAGCGACACACAAGAAACCCAGCCATTCCTGACTAAAAGGCCGTAGCCATAGCAATTTCCTGCGGTTTCGAATCATTTTCCGTCTAGTTCCGGTAGATTTCCAAAATATAGCCCAATAATTTGGGCAAAATGTCTATGAAGTACATTATTATTTTTAAATATAGATTCTGAAAGACATTATTTGTGTTTAATGTTTTTCAAATAAGTTCATCCCTAACTGTAGTGTACTGAACAACAGTACATAAACTTGTGCATTTAGGGATTAGCTTCTTTGAAGAACACTGAACACAAATATTGTTGATTCTTGTGTCATGTTCATAGTGATTAGTGAATGTGATATTATGTGAAATGGAATCATTTAAACTGGAGGTGAAATAATTAATAATGCATGCAAATAAAATAAACACTCGTCGCCAAAAATAGATGACTAATTGACAGTTGACTTAAAGCTTGTCTTCCAAAGATCAGACATACATCCAAACCAAATATTTTCATCATCTTTGTCATCATTAACACGGTCCTTATTTATTACTAATAATATCATTAATGTTTCAGGTTATTATTACATCTACAGACAGTATTCCACAGAAGTAAGTAGGCCTACACCCTCACAAATAATTTGCGCTTTAGTCTGGAAAACATCTACAAATGTATCTCAGGAAAGCTAGTATTTTGTCATCTGTCATCTGTTTTGTCATATTTACCACACCGCTACTAAGGTCAACCTATAATTTAGACGAGTGTAAATGATCATTTCTGGCGCATTGTTTGTACCGGTAGGTTACTACTTACTAGCAGCAACATGCACATGGCACGGCCGCACGCATAGACCTACGACGCTGTAGATCTACGCCTGAGCGGCCCGGGCACGCAGGCATCGCGTACGATACGGTTACTGAATGAAGCCAAGATCTACGTTTGTGGATGTACTTTTTAATTGTTTACTTCATCATATTTTTGTAAGAACATTACCTTTTGACGCTCAGACTCTTCCCGACGTCGTGTTGTTGATTTCCTCTTGGATGGTGGTTGAGGACGGTGGAAGAAGATGGTAGGAATGGCATCGGGTTTTAGTAGTAGTTTCATTCGGGCCTCGTACTTCATTTCGCCCGAATTCCTGAAAACAATCAGCCTCGAAGTGGTCCTCGCAAACGACTCTATTTTTGCTAAATTGATATGTCCGTATATTAAACTTGTTCGTCCCAATATTGTTCAACCACTGAGAACATCTCTCCCTGTCTTGCATTGGGTTTGGGATGCTAAAGAAACTTTTTTTACTCCCATACCCTGGCCGATTGGAACACCCGTACGCCTGGCCTGGCACAGCGGCATCTTGACTAGTCAGAATGTAAGGTGTAAGATATGCGCTTAGTTGTGAGGACCATACGTCACATCACGTGATCAACAATCTGACATCGGTGCGGCAAATTTAAATGTTTTGCTAGAAATAACCGAAATAGAAATCGCTCTTAAAAATCAACCGATTGAAGTACAGCAGTGATATTTGGCAGTTTTAACCTTTGATTTATTTACAACATGCTATGATTTTTGAAAATTCGAGTGGACTTGTCCTTTAATTATTATTATGGTGTTGATGACAACGGTGTTTGCAAATGATTTTGGTGAGTATGATGTTGACTGTCTTTATTAATCATTACGATGGGGGGGGGGGGGGGGGGAAGAGTTTGACAATGAAAATGATGAAACATGCAGCAAGTAGGAAATATGAATATCTCTTCATTCAAAGGTACATTGGCACTTGTTACTCCTGCAGAAGTAGACACAATAATGACCTTTGACATATGATTGTAACCTTTCTCAGGACAATCCTGCTGACTTCTCATTCTTCTTCGACACCTCCCGTCGTCGTACCTGCTACATTGCCCCTGAGAGGTTCGTAGAGGGCAGCAGCTCACGGCCTGTAGACAATGCCACGTCCGAGACAGTAGAGGGCCTTCAAGTCAGGCAGGATGTAAAGGGAGGGGAACTGACTCCTGCCATGGACATATTCAGTGTTGGGTGAGACCACTGTCATACTTTACTGGTTATTAATGAAACGATTTGACTTGTTTGATATTTGTTTTCGTCTTGTGTGCCATAACCGGCTAATTCCACCCAGTAAAGTGTAATTTCTAATGTAAGTTTGGAATAAAAAAGAATAATGGATATACACATTTGGAAGGTTATTCATAAAGAAGGTTTAATATTTCAATAGGGAAATGAGCTCAATTATGACTCTTGAAAGTTTATCACTGATTTTTTTCTTCTCCTGTGAACATAGTGGCTTAGAATGCATTCCATTTTGTCTATTTGTATCGTTTCATGTAGATTGCTACAAAGTACACACGTTACGATTGTATACACAATATGTGTTCATGATCTGAAAGAGCAAAAATTCAATAAAAATTGAGCCTATTTCTGTTACACTAAAGATGCATTATATCCGAAAGAAAATCTATCAGACACTGCTACATGTTTTATTTTATTAATTGATACCACATGGTCATCTGGAGTTTTTTTGAAATTCTTATTTGCTCATGGAGATTATTCATATTGGCAACACATGGTCATATAAAAAATGAGCTACTTATTTTCTTTCAGGTGTGTGATTGCTGAGCTCTTCACAGAGGGCAACGCGCCCTTTGACCTCTCTCAGCTCCTAGCCTATTGTAGTGGCGCATACTCGCCTGACGCTGTGCTGGAGCAGATTGAGGATGAACACATAAAGGTGAAAAAGGAATAGGAAGATAATACAGTCAAACCTCCTTTAGTGACCACCTATCTACAACAAGCACATTTTTTGTTTCCCTTGAAAATGGTTTCTCATTGAAACATGTACTAAAGGAACCTGTCAACAAAGACCACATGTCTACAAAGACCACTTTTTGTGTTTCCCTTGGGCAGTCGCTGTAGACAATTGGCTCGTCCACATTATCCAGTGCAGCTGGAGTTTTGTACCATTTTGTTTACAAATAGTTTCATTCCACATGAGATAACCATCGGTTCTTGCTATAAAGACCTTTGATGAAAATTTTGCCATGAGGTTCAAATTTTTTTCCACTCGGAAAGTAATTTAAATTATTTGAAACTAAGAAGGGAGTCAAATCATTTGGAAAGTATGGGCTAGTTACTGGATATTGCATAACGGCAGTCATGGTGGGGATACAAGAAGCAATGAGTGTAGACAGGGGTTAATGATGTTCACTATCTTTATGCCTCCGTTACGAAGTAGCCGGAGGCATTATGTTTTCGGGTTGTCCGTCCGTCCGTACGTCCGTCCGTACGTACGTCCGTCCGTACGTCCGTACGTCCCGTTCTCGTGATCGCGTTATCTGAAGAACCGATTGCTGGATTCCTGCCAAACTTTGGTCATGTATGTATCTTGCAGAGCCGATGAACTGATTAGATTTTGGGGTCACGAGGTCAAAGGTCAAAGGTCACAGGGCTCATTATGTATGCAAAAACAGCTCGTGATCGCGTTATCTGAAGAACCGATCGATGGATCCCTGCCAAACTTTAGTCATGTATTTATTTTGCAGAGCCGATGAACTGATTAGATTTTGGGGTCACGAGGTCAAAGGTCAAAGGTCACAGGGCTCATTATGTAAGCATAAACGGCTCGTGATCGCGTTATCTGAAGAACAGATTGATGGATTCCTGCCAAACTTTGGTCATGTATTTATCTTGCAGAGCCAAAGAACTGATTAGAGTTTGGGGTCACGAGGTCAAAGGTCAAAGGTCACAGGGCTCATTATATATGCAAAAACAGCTCGTGATCACGTTATCTCAAGAACAGATTGATGGATTCCTGCCAAACTTTGGTCATGTATGTTACTTGCAGAGCCGATGAACTGATTAGATTTTGGGGTCATGAGGTCAAAGGTCACGTGGCTCATTATGTATGCAAAAATGGCTTGTGATCGCATTATCATTAGAACAGATTGATGGATTCCTGCCAAACTTAGATCATGTATGTATCTTGCAGAGCCAATGAACCGAGTAGATTCTTGGGTCATGAGGTCAAAGGTCATGGCTCATTATGTATGCAAAAATAGCTTGTAATTACGATATTTTGAGAACCTGTTAATGGATTACAAATGAACTTGAATTTGAAAAATTTCTTCTGTTTTGGTTGGTAAAATTGCTCTATGACGGAGGCATCATTTTCGACTGCGCGCAGTCGAATTCCATCTAGTTTTTAATGAAATTGTGTACAAGTAAACATGAGATCTCAGTTTTTTTCTCAAAATCTCAGTCACTCTTTATTCAAATCTTTTTAACTGAATCAAACAAGGCTTCTTCATAACAGTAAGCTAAAAATAAATGAAATACTTGATATTGATGTTTCAAACCTTATTTGTTGTTCTTCCCTAGGAGCTCTGTAAACACATGTTACAGAAGGATCCATCCAAGCGAATGTCGGCTGAACAGTACCTGGTAAAGGGGCGTGGTACGGCATTCCCAGAATTTTTCTACACATTCCTCAAAGTTTACATGGGAGAGTTTGCCGGTGTCCCTATCTATCCAGCTGATGAGAAAATAGCAAGGTAGGAAGCAGGGGTCTGAGTCCTGTTTCATAAAACTTGCTATCAAGAACAAGTTTCAAGCTACTGTTATAAGCTACTGAAATCATGGCATCTGATTGGCTGAGAGCAAATTCGTCATACAAATTTAGCATTTGTTATAGATAACAAGTTTTATGAAACAGGCCCCAGGACTTTCCGGGGGAGGGGCAGAAGGAGCAGTTGCCCTCCTGGGGGCCATTTCTCGAAACCGTCATAAGTTAAACTTCTTGGACATCCCATTGAAACATGTGTTGTAGAATTAACACCCGTTTCTACGGGATGTCCACGAACTTAGACTTATGACGGTTTCAAGAAACTGGCCCCAGATCTTGATAATCAAACAATTGAGTGTGGAAATTAAAAAAAATAGGCTGGTGAGGAAATGGTGAAGCAACGAGCAGGATATTGGTTCATGGGTGGAATAAAGGTCAACCAAAAAAGACGGTTGCCCTCCTTACCTCTCAGTGATTACAGAATTCTTTGTGTCTCCTATTGCAATATATGCTGTTTTGATCAATGTGTTAGATAGATAGATATTTGGTTTTATTCAAGAAAAATACTGATTAAAAAGTCTGAAGACTAAACAAGTCAGTTAACAATATAAAATGCACGCCATCAGAAAATTCCATTTGTTTCCTCCAGGTTAGACTATATTTTTATTTCTAGTGATTTGTTGAATTGCGTAAAGAAATCTAAAATTGTGACTGGTATTTGTTCTGATCATTGTATGGTAACACTAGCACTGTCACTAAATGATTCACCTCGGGGCAAGGGATATTGGAAACTGAACACTGCACATTTGAAACATTCAGAATTTTGCAATTTCATTAAAGACAAAATTAATGAATTTAAGGAATTTCATGCTGAATGTGATCTAAATCCAAATATTATTTGGGATGCATTCAAATGCACAATGGCTGGTCATTGTATGGAGTATTGCAGTAGAAAGAAAAAAGAAAAGAATTTGACTAAGAATAATTCACTAAAGAGTATATCCTTACTTAAAGAAAAAATTGGTTCATTGAAAAAGGATAATAGTTCAAATGAAGAACTGCAAGAATTATATAGCAAATTAGAAGTTGAAGAAGCACAGTTGAATGAACTTCTGGATACTGAAACTGCTGGCTCTATAGTAAGGTCTAGATTAAAGTGGGCTGAACACGGAGAAAAAAGCTCTAAATACTTCTGCAATTTAGAAAAACGGTCCTATGAAAGAAAAACTATACGCCAACTGAAGGCGAACAATGAGCAAATCATCACTGATCCTAAAAGAGTACTTCAGGAAATTCATTCTTTTTATAAAGCTCTATAATCTTCAGAGGTATCTCTTGAGGATAGGGACACTATCAAGGATTTTATCGCCCCTTTGAATATACCTACCTTATCAGATGATTCAATTTCTGCTCTAAACAGACCTTTAACCAAAAATGAACTTTGGACTACATTAAAGAATATGGGAACAAATAAGAGTCCAGGACTAGATGGCCTTCCTTGTGAATTTTATTTAACTTTTTTCAATGATATCATAGATTTATTACTCCACTCTTATAATTATTCCTTTCAAGAAGGAATTTTATCACAATCTCAAAGAAGTGGAATAATCACGCTTCTTCCAAAAAAGGGTAAGGATCCATTGTTAGTGAAGAATTATCGCCCTATTTCTCTACTGAATGTTGACTATAAATTATTAGCCAAAGTTATGAGCTCCCGTTTGAAGTCTTGTATAAATTCTTTGATACATACAGATCAACAAGGGTTTATGAAGGGACGCAACATTGGGGCCAATATTCGGGTTATAATTGATTTAATTGAATACACAGACTATATGAATGAGCCAGCTACAATTATTTTGTTAGATTTTGAGAAAGCGTTTGATAGAATAGAACATGATTATTTATTTTCAGTCTTGGACTATTTTAATTTTGGAGACAATTTTATAAGATGGATAAGGTCTTTTTACAATGACAGAACTAGCTGTGTGTTAAACAAAGGTTTTATGTCCAATCCGGTTGCAATTAAAAGAGGAATATTCCAGGGGTGCCCAATATCCCCTCTTTTATTTATACTAGCTATTGAAATTCTGGCTATTTCAGTACGACACAATCCAGGGATAAAGGGAATTTCAGTTGGCAATTTTGAACAGAAGATAAGTCTTTTTGCAGATGACACAACTTGTTTTTTGAATGGGGAAACAGTTTCCTTTAAACATTTATTTGAAACGTTGACTCAGTTTGCAAAATTTTCAGGTTGTCGCATTAATTTAAGTAAGTCAGATGCAATTCATATAGGAAAGCTGAAAGGCAGTACAGTTATTCCGCAAGATGCATTAGGGTTGAATTGGAAATCAAAAACGTTTAAGGCTTTAGGAGTGGTTTTCTCATTGAACACAAAAATGCTTTACGAACTGAATTTTGTTCCCAGACTTGTCATTATAGAACAGATTTTAAATTGTTGGAGGCATAGAAGCCTATCCTTGTTGGGCAAAATTGCTGTTGTAAAGTCACTTTTACTCCCCCAAATGTTATTTTTGTTTTCAGTATTATGCATTGACCTGCCAAACTCTTTCTTTAAAAGATTAAATGGTTTGCTTTTTAAATTTATTTGGAGCAATGGCAATGACAGAGTTAAGAGAGATATATTATGCAATGATTATGAAGAAGGGGGTCTAAGGATGATTAATCCTTTAGTTTTTGCACAAGCGCAGAAAGTTTTGTGGATGGCTAAACTCTTAGACGATAAATATGAAAGTTGTTGGAAAACAATAGAAATATATATTCTTTCTACCTTTTGTGATGATCATCTTGCCCTTTTTAAGGCAGATGCCCCTGATTCGGTTTTGGCAAAACTTAAAAATTGCCAGTTAACAGCGTCTATTAAGACATGGTATTTATATAGGCAAGAGATGAAAAGAGAACTAGGTTTATGTCAGTTTCATTTACAAGATTTTATTTGGTGGAATAGAAATGTAAGATTGCAATATAGAACACATTTTTTCTATCCAGTTTGGTATGAAAGGGGTATTCATTCCATTTTTCAATTACATAATGGTTTTGGTAACCCCAAAACATTTGAAGACCTCGTAATTGAGTTTGACATTCCTATTAGAGACCAAAGAAGATATGACTCCCTCATGAATGGCATATTTTTGGAGTGGTTTGATAATTCTCTTAATGTGTATGAGAATATATTTAATCAAATTTTTAAAGATCTATTAAGTCAAAAGAAAATGTCTAAGTATACATATAATATTTTGCTAAAGAAATATAGTTGTACTAATGCCAAAAGGGAGAGTAAATGGGAGGAACTCTTTGGCCATCAACCCAAAGAGAAGGATTGGTCGATTATTCATACGAGTAACTTTTGTTGCACAATTGAGACTCAGTTAAGGAGTTTTTATTTCAAAATTTTCCATAATGCTATTGGTTTTAATGCATTTTTGTTCAAGATTGGGAGAAAGGAGTCTGCTAATTGTTATTTTTGTTCAGATTTTCCAGAAACTTTAGATCACTTGTTTTGTGACTGTAGGAGAGTTGTATCACTGTGGGAAAAATTGGTGGATAAGATTAACACTGGCACTGATCACAGTTATAATCTGACTCTGTCAAAATTTAATTTTTTGTTTGGGATACAGTCCAGGGACAAATACGCCTCTTGTATAAATTTTCTCTGTTTATGTTTAAAATATTACATTTACTCATGTAGGTTTCAGGGAAAAGAACTTATTTTCGAAGCATTTGTTTCAATGGTAAAGTTCAAACAAAAAATAGAATATAAAATTGCCCAAAAGAAAAATAAGTTACAAGTCCATTTTAAGAAATGGTCTATCAAGTTTAACTGAAATTTAGGAGTAGTCTTGCAAAGCTCTGTTGTCATTAACATCTTCATTGGCTTTTTGAATTGTAAACTTGCCCTTTGGGAAAGTATATGAGTGTGAGTGTGTGTGTGTGTGTGTGTGTGTGTGTATGTTTATGGGTGCATGAGTGCGTGCCTGTTTTGTAGTTTTAAGATGATATTATATTTTATATTGCTGCTTTTACTCTGTTAATTTTTCAGAAAAAACAATAAAAACAGAAAGAAAAAAACAAAAAACAATATAAAATGCATAACAAAAAATATAACAATCTAAAAAAAAAACATGAATAAATTAAATTATTAATAAGTAAAAAAAACAGAGACTTTTTATCAGGAGGTTGTAAACTCATGGATAATCACTATGGGGAACATTCAGATATTTTTTTTGGTCAGATTCTGTTTATTGATAATCAGATGAATGATAAATCTTAAATGTGGAGACTGTGTTTTGCCTAGGGTTGTGCAGAAGTTTATCAATTGTTTCTGATTTGGTTTCATTAACAGGCTGAATAGAGATTTTAAACTCTAGACGTAATTGCATCTATCTGTACACACTGTTCCAATGGCCATTACTGTATACTATTATAACAAAGAATAATCATAAACATGATTTAAACTATGAAATTTTTTTCGGCTTTAATACCTTAGAAGAAAAAACACATTTAGGGGAAAAGTGACACTCTTTCCAGCTTTCCTACCCTCCTGTCTAGGATATCATATCTCTATCAAGCCTGGTAAATTTTGTTCTTCCTCTATAGACTGCGTAAAGACATGGGTAGCATCATGCAGACTCTCGTAGCCAACATGGAGGATGGGGAAAACAATCAGCGCCATAGCAACAACGGACTGGTAATAGTCCTGTCTCTCGTCACATCTTGCTTGAGATCACTCAAGGTAGGTCTGACAAATCTTCTCTTTTTTTATCACCACTCTGAGGTGGTAGGTACGCTTGGGTAAAAGGACTCTCAAATCTGTTAATGGATCCAAGCCAAGGTCAAAGTTCATTTGTTAAAATCTTGTTTATGCTAAATCTTAACAAATATTTTTACATGTAAAGTATCGTTTGACATTATTTCAAGATGTAACACAAAATCAATTCAAGATATTATGGACAGCATGATACATATTGAGTAAAATTATTTGAAAAATCATTTGTTGATCATTAAAACAATGTCTATCTATAGGCTTGTGCCAAGCACTTAAAACACCTATAAATTCATCTTCAAAATAAGATTACTTTATATATTTCTGTTAATTTTCAGGAAGACCTTTTTACCCTTGTTATTGAGATAGATTTATGCGCAGTTCATTATCATCCATTATCTTTGTAAAATGCTCTACATATTAGGAAGCTTTGTAAAGATGAGATAATCTACAAATTAGAAAATTTCTATTTAATTGAGAAAGAGAATGTACAGCTCTACGCTTCTCCGGCGTCTGTGTGCCGGTTTGCTGCTCATGATTTTATTCCTGCCGCATATTTGCTTTAACATTCATTATCTTATTTTTCTTCTGTTTAGTTCTGTGTCTCACGACTGGGTGCTCTGGACATCATGTTGATGATTGGTAAACATTTACCAGATGACATCATACTGGACAGAATCATTCCTTGTATTGTAAGTACATACTTCTACGACTACTACAACTACGACTATGACTATTACTTCTTATACTACGACTACTACTATCACTCTAAACGTCATGTTGATGATATCATACTGGACAGAATCATTCCTTGTATTGTAAGTACATACTTCTACTTCTAATAGTTCTACTACTACTACAACTAGGACTATTATATGACTTACTTCTTCTTCTACAACTACGGCTACAACTACTACTTCTTATACTACAACTACGACTACTACTACTACTGCTACTACTACTCCTACTACTACTGCTACTACTACAGTTACGGCCACAACTACAACTTCTTATACCGCAACTTCTTATACTACTACTACTACTACTACTACTACTTCTACTACTCTAAAAGTTATGTTGATGATATCACATTGGTCAGAATCATTCATCATAATTACAAGTGCATAGTAATGAGGAGGTAATGTAGGATATGAAAAGAAGAAGTGTCATGCTTGAAAGATTCCTACACGTTCATGTGTATTTGGTTGATTGTCAGACAAACATTCAAAGCAATATTTGGTGTGATTTATTTGCTTATTTTGATATTTGTTTGACAATTAAAGAGGTTGGAACTTTTCTTCTAAGAGTCAGAAGGAAAATAAGGTCATCATGTTGGAATTATAACTCCATATGAAGTATAACAGATCATTATCTGCCATGCCTACCAATTGTATGGGGGAGCATCCATTATACATGTAGGAGAGGTGCTGTCAAACCATTTTTTAATTTTTGTTGTAAACTGACCAAATGAACAGCCATTTTTTAAAATTTACAAGTATATAATAATGTAGCTTTATGAAATGTAAAAATGATTCAGTACACATGTGAAGGGAAAACTTGGTGTTTGTGATATGTCCCTTTATAAATTTTGCTTGTGACTATTTCATTTCCATATTCATCTAACTCATAAATGCTCTCCCCTTACAGCTCCATTTTGTACATGATCCTTTCCCAAGAGTACGAGCAGAGGCCATCCGTACGATCACCCAGACGCTCATGTTGGTCAAGTCTGTCCCGAGAGGGTAAGAAATGGATTTAGTAGGGGTGTCAATGAAGAGAAAGATAATGAAATGCCCATCTTCTTTTGAAACGTTTAATGCCACAAGCGACAAGTCTCAATGTGGAATGTTTAAGAGAAGGTTGAACTTTAGTATAGATGAAAATAAAGATCATGCTTTATATTCCTTTGAGAGAAAACAAAGTCAGTCTTGGGTTCCAATCTTGGGGTTTCATGTTTTCCTGTACTTTCTTCGTTCTTTTGAAACTTTCACCCACAAGTTGCTGAGTATTAGCATTGTAGGGATGATTTGATGCATACTTGCTGAACAAAAATGAGTTTCTAAGGTGATAAGTCTCCTTCAAGTTAAATGAAGTGAATTTTGCCTCTGTTAACATTACCCATACATGTACAAATTTGAGTATGAATGAGGAGTAGTGCCAGAAGTTAAATACATTATTGATGATTACGGTAGCATTAAGGATAAAATAAAGCAACTAATGATGATGATGATGATGACAGTACAAGTATGTACTTTTTCAAAAAATTGATGTGATGAAATATGAAAAGAATGAGTTATAAATAGTAATATATGAAAATCATGCATTTGTTTTGTCTTCTTTCATATTTTGTTGCAGGGATGCCAACATATTTCCTGACTACATACTTCCAAATTTGGTAAGTGTGGGTAATAGACCGTCTACACTTGTGACAGCGGTTACCTCTTTCGGCTGCAAAAACATTGTATCCAACAACAGTTCTGAAAGCACTTACATGTATGTGTGATATTAGTGTACATGCAGAATATTTATCACATTTTGAGGATTTCTCAGCCACTAATAATTGTATACTATGTAAATTTATTTTTCACATGTAATCATTTTGTTTTCGTTTTATACCTAGAGTTAAAAACATGAAAAAATTAGCCTTTTCACAGCTAGATTGACTAAAATCGGGTATCAGTAATGCTTCTTCTTCTTCTGTTGAAGTACAGGCCACCATGTTGTCAGTGTATCTTCGTACTTTGGGGTTGTGCAGATATATGTACAGTGGCGTGGAAGATCTAATCTATGTGCGGTTAAAAAGAACAGGCGCAATCCTAGCGTAACTGTGTTTTCTGCACCTCAGTCTTTAAGCTGGCATTATTATGCACGACATGTAAAAAATGCTTCAGTTGTCTTATATTTACTGTTCCAGTCTAACATAGCTCAGGATCCCATAGACATGGTGCGGATGGTATACGCTGAGAACATTGCCGTGCTAGCGGAGACTGCCCTCAGGTTTCTGGAGATGGTACAGCTGGACCAGAATGCTGCTCAGAGCGGAGAAACGGACGGTGTGCAGAATCCAGCCCAGTATCAGGTATGGAGGACTTGTGAACTACAGTGAAACCTGTGTGTAAAGACCATGAAAGAGAGACAAAATGTGTAGTACAGATTACTGTAGTACAGGTTTCATTCAATTGAATTTGATTAATTCAGTGTGTCATTGTTCATGCATGCATGGAGATTTGTCTTGTTGTACAAACATACATACATAGCACCATGAGAAACAATGTGTGAGGGAAACAAAAGAAGTAAAAACAAATTGTCGTAATAGACAGGCTGTCTTTCTGTACAGGTGGTCTTTCTCTACAGTTAGACCCAAATTTGATGAAGAGAATGAATTTCATCGTTAAAATTTACACATGTGGATCATGTAACTTGGGGTACTCTCAGTGCATTAGTCAAATTGAGGAGGCGTGATAGCTCAGTTGGTAGAGCAGTGGTCTCGTTATCCGGTGACTCCGGTTCGAAACCAAGGATATGCGCTAGTGTCCTTTGGTAAGGCATTAATCCTCATTACCAGGTCCCTCGGAGAGGACCTTAAGCCGTCGGCCGTCTGGTTGCTTACTAACAAGCATTTATGCTTACTTAGCAGTCAGGTAAAATAACCACCACCAAATGCTTCAAATTATCAAATCCATATTTATTTCTTCTTTCAGGCTAGTTATGATGATGAGCTTCAGAACCTACATGGTATGATCCAGCAGAAGGTCGTCACATTACTCAGTGATCCAGTAAGTTTCATCTTCTTGATATCTATGAAACAATTTTGTTGGTCTTTCACTTGGTCTAAAGCAAATGTCTTAGCTTAGAAAATATGTAGACAAACATATTTAATACTGATCATCATTGCATTTCAGTCTACTCAAGTAATATGATATAATTTGCTGTCATATTCTTTATCCATGCTATTAAAATAACAGTACAGTGCACATGTTAATGTACAAGTAGATTATGATCTGTCAATAATGACTGTCACATTATCATATTAACATCAGTCCCCTTTTGTTTAATGTTGTTGTTCTCATGCATTTGATCTACTTTACCTATATTTATCGTCATTTAAAAAGGAAATATAGTACTGTTATGATGTACGGTACCTTAAATCTACAGATATTTCATATTTCCATATGGCATATTAAGATACTGTAAGCATTAAGGTATTACTTCATGCATTCATTCACCTCCATGTACCTTTGAAGCATTCAAAATTATTACAAATATGTTGCACTGTCAATGCAGAAATTTCACTTTGAAAAAAACTGCAAACCATTTGTATATACTGTACTAGCTTAATATCTACATTCAAATACTGTACCTCTTCTTCATGTCATCATATGAACATCATATATCTCTCTTTAGGAAAACATTGTAAAGCGAACCCTGCTTGAGAATGGTATCACCCGTCTCTGCGTGTTCTTTGGACGTCAGAAGGCTAACGATGTACTGCTCTCACACATGATCACATTCCTTAATGACAAGGTAAGATCTCTTATTCTCTCTAATCATTTGGGGAATACTCAGTCCCAGTTGACATGGCTGAATTTATTTCTTAAAGCCCACCTGTACTACCTGTAGCTACTTGCTCCCTCTATATAGAAAACAATGCCTAATCGGTGATCATTGGTCCCCCGTGATCCTCTTTTGCTTATGTTAATTGAGAGCTGAATTGATGAGATAGCCACTTGTCAGTGACCACCCTGGGTGGTCTAATCCCTCCTGGCCAAACTAGTACAGATGGGCTTTAAAGTCTTTTTCATTTGATTGCGCGGTAGGATGCTGAAAGCCCTGGTAATTGAATTCATAATCATCTGCCCTTACTGTAACCTTGTCGAAGATATAATTCTCAAGAAGTGGAGATAGTGTATGTGAGGTCCTGATATGTCCGTCATATGGAAATTGACTCTTGAACAACTTTAGAATGTGCATGAAGTTGCCATGAATTAACCACTTCTTAAGTTCCTTCATTGTGTGTCTACTTTACACTAAACATGAACAGATATCCTATTGCTCTTGAAATGAAGTTAACTATCTTTTTGCTATTAAAACACACATTTTGTTATGCATTGTTCATACAAGCATGATTCCTACAGTTTGAGTTAATAGTAATACATTCGTCTGTAATGACTATAGTATAATATAGTATGATATGAGTATTAATTGAACATATGTCCATTAGGAGTTTGTATATGTATCATTATCAGATGATGACGTGGATGCTAATCAAATGATTGGTTGAAAGCGTACAGATGACCAGGCATTTATTTTGCCTAACGCGTAATTTGGATAATGACCGGTCATTAGTAAATCATGTTATAAAACATCATTTTATAAAACAAATAAAATATAATCTTATAAAACAAATAAAATATAATCTTATAAAACAAATAATACACATCATTTTGTTCGGGCATATTACTGATGCCCTCACTGTCGTGATTTATTTTTATAATATAATATGATATTAGTATCAAATGCTACATATGTCCATTAGGAGTTTGTACATGTATCTTATTTTGTCCCTCCCAGGAGGACTGGCATCTCCGAGGGTCATTCTTTGACAGCATAGTGGGCGTGGCTGCGTACGTTGGATGGCAGAGCTCATTCATACTGAAACCTCTTCTACAACAGGTGGGTCGATCGTCTTTCTCAGTCACCTTCTAATCTTGACCATGGCTTACAGGAAAGTTGGGTCCTGTTACTTAAGGGGAAGTTTCTGAAACAAGTGTTTGATTTGCCTAAAAATAATCAGGAGTTTGTATGTTTAACTAGTGAATATTCTCAGATTTCAGTCAGCTTGATCCACCTTTTTTAGTCGTTTGATCTCTGAAGAGGGTTTGCATCAGTGATATGGCTAGAAATGAGAGGATCAAGAAAATGAAGACAGAAACTTAGAAACATTTGAATATGAATAGGAAAAGAAGGAAGTGAAATGGAAAAGAGAATAGAACAACATATTATCAAGAGAACATGTAGAAATGTGAAGAATCAGAAGTAAAATTGTAAGATGAAGAGATGAGGACTTATGTTCTTTGCTATCCAACAGGGATTAACAGACCAAGAGGAACAGGTCATATGTAAAGCATTGAAGAGTGTGACAGGTTTATATTGTTCAGGTTATCCTTTAGGATTAGGGTTAGCGTCAGGATTGGGCTAGAGTGTCCGGGTTAGGCCTTGAGGGTTCGGTCTTGAGGGCTAGGATCCATGTGTAGTGAGATATTCTGCAGTTCAGACATTGATGATAATCCCATACAATTGTTTGTCCCTCCACCGCAGGGATTAACGGACCATGAGGAACAGGTCATATGCAAAGCGTTGAAGAGTGTTACAGGTTTAGGTTGTTCAGGTTACCCTGTAGGATTAGGGTTAGTGTCCGGATTAGGTCTTGAAGGCTAGGATCACTTGTGTGGTGAGATATTCTGCAGTTCAGACATTGATGATAATCCCAGACATTTTTTCCCCTCCACCACAGGGATTAACGGACCATGAGGAACAGGTCATATGCAAAGCCTTGAAGAGTGTCACAGGTCTGGTCCAACTTGGCCTACTTCAGAAGCCTGCCCTCCTAGAGATGGCCTATGAGCTCGTACCATACGTATGCCATCCAGTGAGTATAAAATCATCAAGTCAACGTCATAAAAACACAACAAGCATGTTAGTGCCTTGATTTGAGATTTAAAGGTATAGACTAGTTTTGGAAACGCCCCCCTCTCAAAAAATGAAATGGAAGCTCTTATTACCAATCATGTGAAAGAATACATGTATGTTTTGACTAATACGTGATAATACAAATTTTGCCGGGAAACCACCTACTTATTGATATATTTGGTAAATTATCATATTGATCTGGCCTGGATAGATATCGCGTAGTCCCATATACACCTTTTTGTGTACAGTGCTTGTAACTTTACCAAGACTGAGCCAAATTTCTTATCATTTTGATGATTCCAGAACCTTGCAGTATGCACCAATACTTATAATATGCTAGATGATCAACCTTTTCTGATCGATTCCACGTTTCTTTCACAATGCTATCTATACCTTTAAAGGAAAAAAATGAGAAATATACATGTACTCTTCAACAGAGTAGGATTTTGAAGCTCTCAAATTCCGTCCAGACCATCACAGACTTTAACTATCTTTGATCTACAATTGAAATCTTAATTGTTCAAAAATACTTTCTGATGACACTTAAACTGCACTATTGTATTTTATCATAATTAAAACTACATTACTGTACTTTGTCATAATTTGCTTTCATTTCTGTATAATTGATGTTGATAAGTGCTTTGATTAATCT